AGTCATACCAGCTGAAGAAGAAAGTGACAGAATTTGTCAGCCTCCTGGCTGTGCCCTGCCTCTTATACCAGTCTGTTTTCTAGCGGATTCTTTTCTATACAAGTGAGGCAGTAACATCTTCCCCGGGTGCTTCACTGGGGTTTTGTGAGGATCCAGTGCACTAACCGGAGCTGTCACGAAGCTATGGTCACTCTAGGTTTTGAGTCCTCGCGTTTTGTGGTTATGACCACAGTCGTACACTCCTCTTTGGACCCTGGCTTTCCTTCTTACTACTGGCTTTGGCACCTTGGATGAGAAGCTTAACCTTTCGGAGCTTTAATTCCCTTAAACGTAAAATGGAAAAATAACAGAGCCTCCTTCTCAGGGTTGTTGTGAAGATTCAGTGACATACGATTGGTCACGTGCATGTTACACTGCCTGGGACGTGATGCAAGCACAATGTCTGGCTGTGGTTATCATTGCTGTTGCCCCAGAGTTCACCTACATAGATGGTCTCACCAGGAAGCATTCCTTTGTGTCTGCTTGCACCGTGCACGAAGTTCAGTCCTGTGTTAGAAATTCAGACAAAGACAGGAACTCTTCCTCTGCAGGGTGTTTCCGTCTGAGCACTGACGCGCTGACGAGACACAAGGAGCGCATGAACACTACCTGACCACGTGGAGTCCCTGGGTGGTGCAGAGGGCTAACAGGCTCAGCTACTAACCGAATGGTTGGCGGTTCAGATCTACCCAGAGGCATCTCGGGAGAAAGGCCTGGTGATCTACCTCTTAAAACTCAGCCATTGAAAACCCTGTGGAGCACAGTTCTACCCTCAACACACATGGGGTCACTGTGAGTCAGAGTCAACTCAACAGCAACTCGTTTATTTGTTGTTTTTACCTGACCTCCTGCAAACACAGGCATGATGCTTATTTCTTTCCTACCCAAGGACATCCCTTTCCTTTTTCATGAATCTCCAGACACTCCAGGATCCTGGGGGCTGTCCATTCAGTCAGTTCCCCTTCATTTTTACCATTTCCATTAGAATTTTGGTGTTTGAGAGCTATTTATGCCCAAGGCAGGCTTGAAACTTGTCTTTATCTTACAAAGTCATGCGTTTTCCTAGGATTGGAACAAGCTTAAACACCAGTACATATGTGTTTAGAAGCTTCCAGGAAACAATCAGTCCTTCTTCTCTTTGTACATGTCAGAAATCAGTGATGTTTTGATCCAGAGAAAGGGAAGGAACAGAAGGCTAGATGAAAGGGAGAGACAGATTGTTTCTTTAAGATGAATTGAAAACAGGAGTGAAAAAATCAATGTGGCTGTGTACTGGCTGTTCCCTGAGGAGGGGCAGCAGGCAGGGATTCAGCATAGAAATGCATGTGCTGTGTCCTTTTTATTTTTAGTTTTTAATTCTGATATACCACTTCTGAGGTCGCATAGTAATATAGACTGATGTGGTTTTGATGTAGCATTCTGTTTGTTTGTTCTGGTTTTTGCTTTTAAATCTTAGACGGGTACGTGGGAACCCTGGGTTTCATGCTCAGCTCTAGTCCTTATTAACTGTGTCACCGAGGGCAAGGCACCTCCCTTCTCCAGATCTCTGTTAAGTCGTCTGGAAAAAGAAGTCAGGTTCGATTACACTCCCTCATGTTTCTACAGAACGTTACAGATTTCAAACCACGTTCACATTCGTTAGCTCGTTTTTACCTTATTCTTCACAGCAGCTCTGCCAGGTGGGCAGGGTAGGGTATATTGCTCTTGTTTTACTGATAAGGAAACTGCCAAGGTGGGAGTCAAGGGCAAGGCTCCTGTTGTGGCCCCCAGGGCATGCCCACCACCCTTGGCAGCCCTCCTTGGACTGGGCCCCACGCTGCTCCTGTCTGCCCAGCCACCACTGGACAACGTCAGGGAATCGGGGCCAGGATGAAAGAAGCAGACTTTTCACTCTGGGTAGGCCGAAATGTACGGGAGGACATCCCGGTCCTAAATCTCAACTTTCCTTCTGAGTTAAAAAAGAAAAAACCAGTTGCCATCGAGTCCATTCCAACTCATGGCTACCCCATGTGGATCACAACAGAACTGTGCTCCGTCGGGTTTTCGATGGCTGAATATGTGGAAGTGGGTCACCAGGCCTTTCTTCAGAGGTGCCTCTGGGTGGACTCCAACCTTTCAGTTAGCAGCCAAGTGCTTAGCCATTTGGACCACCTAAGGCAAGCATCAGTCTGAACATTGAGAGCTTCTGGGTCCTAAATCTTAGTTTGTTTTCTGAGTTTAAGAAACTCTAATTATTAGTTTAGATTTACTTATCACTATCACATTTCCCATATGGCCAGTGAGTATGTGAAAGTGCATTAGGAAGTGCCAAGAGACATGGTCGAGTTTCTCAACCTGCTCAGAGAGGCAGATGCTTGTGCTGTGGAAAGAATACCCAAAGAGGGACGTATTTAATGCACGTAGACAAAGGTACAAATGTCACTGAAGTCAGATCCCAAAAAGAAAGGGATTTTCCCCCACCTCAGCCTGACGTTTGTTTCTTTTATAGTTAATGAATAATGGTGCTGGTAGAGTCTTTCTCAAATCCTCTGGGGGCGATGGGCGGAGGTCGGTGGAGCTGGAAGGTCAGCTTGTCCTTCAGTGTGAACCAAAAACACCCGTTGCCATGGAGTCGATTCCGACTCATAGCAACCCTGTAGGACAGCGTAGAACTGCCCTAGAGGGTTTCCAAGGCTGTAATCTTTATGGAAGCAGACTGCCACATCTTTCTCCCAGGAAGCTGCTGGTGGGTTTGAACGGTGGACTTTTCAGTTAGCAGCCAAGGGTGGTAACCGTTTGTACCAGCCTGGGACTCCATCCCTCAGTATAGTCTCAATAAAACTTTAAGGATCTAAAATTGTAATTAGAACAAAGGGCCCACCAGCGTAATTAAAACTATTCTCAGCCTGAGCCAGGCAGGATATCAGGCAGGAGGGAGCATCAGTACTATATAAGGTAGACCTTCCAGGAAAGGGGTCGCATGGTCTGGACTGAGCATTCGGAGACCATTCTTTCCCAGTTTGCTCCATCAGGCTTCTCCTCTCTTGCAGTTGACTTGGAGCAGGTTTTGGAGCTGGATTCCCTGGAGTACCTGGAAGCGCTCGAGGGCGTGACGGAGCGCCTGGAGAACCGTGTCAACTTCTGCAAGGCCCACCTCATGATGATCACCTGCTTTGACATCACTTCCAGGCGCCGATAAGGAGAGTTGGACCCCTGCCCCACCAGCCCCCCTCACGCCCCAGGACCTCAAAGAGACAGTCACAGTCACCCAGGCCCTCTGTGTTGGAAGCACTCAAAGACACTAGAATGAGGATGAAGGTTGGTGGCAAGTCTGGAGTGAGCGTTGAGTGGAAGGCGATTTTTCTTTTGTTTTCTGTAGGAATGGTGCAAACACCAAACACACATGGAAGGAGAAAATGATGGGAAGCCCAAGGGATGTGGAAGCCCCATGAGACTGAAAAAGCACTTTGAGGAACTTTAAAGAACTTGCTTGTACATAAGAACTGTTAGCAAAAGACACCTCACCCTTCTCTTGCTTTATGAGAAAGGGGGAGGGTGGGCGTAGGATTGCCATTGGAAGCTAAAACAAAACAACAAAAGATTATCCAGAATGACTGATTAAGTGCCTTGCAAATCTGTATTATTATCCAAACATTTATGTTGATACTTTCTTGTGTACAGATGGTGCTAGTCAAGATTAAAACAACAACGACGAAACAAAAAAAAATCAAACACATTTTTTTGCAATGTATTTGCAGCTCGTTTTCTCTTGGTGTTTTATCCTGTTTCTGACTTGCTGTTTCTAAGTACCTTGTGTTTGTAGAGATATTTCCTAATCAGTATTGCATATGAATAAATGGTAACCGTCTTTTATGGTTCTTCTGGTAAGGCCACTCAAACAGAACCTGGAGACTTCATCACACAAACCAGCGTGTTCCCAAAAGGTTTTGAGCAGCAGGTGACGCTCAATGCCACCTCCACAGACAGCACGGCCAGAGACAGACTCAGAGCGCTGATGAAGGAGCAGGGGTACTTGAACTCTAGAGAGTGGAAGAGGAGAAAGGGGCTGTGTCTTTCAGGGAAACGGTATCCCTTATGATCTGGGCCCTACATGATCCTCGTAGGTGGGATGTTCTGTTCCTAGTTCCACCTCTAAGTCTTGACACATGTACTGGTTCCTTTCCCCACTAATCCAGGGCTCCATGGCCCTCAAAACATTCTTCATATTCATTTTTATTCCAAATACTCTTGATTGAAAGCTTGAACCAATCCAACAGAGCCATACTTTTTCATTTTCTAGTTTTGTGCATTGATTAAAGCGGAGAGTTTTCCCCAGCTTAGAGACCATCTCAGGCTTACATATATATGCTCAGAGCCTCCAACAGTATTGGTTTAGTACAAGATCGGGTCTTGGGATTGCAAATGGAGTACAATTTTCAGTTCTTGCCCTCCATACCAAGAAGGCACAAGGCTGTGACCCTCAACTTTGGCCCCCCAAAAGGAAGAGCAAGCTTACATCTTCATACACTCCATAACCCTGGAGAGGCACGGTGACTTGGAGCAGAGCACAGGGTTTAATGAATGTGGATATGCAGTTCTTCTTGTTGTTACTTTCTAGCCAGTCGTCTCCAACTCATGGCGACCTTACGTGTAACAGAACAAAACGTCTTCCGGTCCTGCGCCATCGCCATGACCGTTGGTATATTTGAGCCTGTTGTTGTGGCTATTGTGTCAGTCCATCTCGTTGAGTGTTTCCTTTGTTTTTGCTGACCCTCTACCAGACATGATGCAGTTCTTAGCTCCCCAAGACTTAGAACCTTGTTCTTAAATTTAGATTAATCCACCCGTTCAACAATTTCCTAAGGGATTGTTGGACCCATATTAGTGATAGAAACCCAAGGTACAGGGTGATCAAGGGACTTGCCTGATAACAGTTATGGAGTAGCAATGGAACTCAGAGTCAGGAGTCCCCCTATCTTCCAGGTCAGGGCCCTCTCCCAGAACCTCTGCCAGCCTTCCTATTGAGGAGGTGGCCAGGGGTTTGTACATAAGTACTTTTCATTTTTCTCCCTCAAATGTAGCAGATCTTCACGAGCCTCTTAAGGAGAGGCAGCCCCTGCTAATCAACTCCCCAGCCTCAGCTGCTCGCCAAGGAAGGTACTCTGCCAATATACACCTGAACACGAACACACGGATCCCAGCCCATCCATCCCAACAATGAGCAGCACTCGGGCGAACGCAGTAACTAGGAGCTGACATCTTGTGAACATTGCAGTACCCGTCCCATAGTAGGCAGGACTGGGCAAAGACTGCCTCTTAGCTAACTGGTTTTGGAGGTCAGCCCATAGACTGGACACCAGCTCCAAGGATTACAAGTCCTGATGGGCACATCCAGGTTACTCTGGAATGAACCATTTCCCCCTCAATTGGATCACTCAAGTTTAACAAGTGTGTCATCCCAGCTGCTCACCCTTAGCCCCGTTCTGCGGGACATTCCTATGGTCCCGGGCTCAGTCTGTGGTCTCCCAGCACTTGTGTGAATAGGCTTGCTTCAGCAACATCCATGAAAGCTTCTGGACCCCAAAGAATGCCAATCTTTGAGTTTCGGCTTGCTATTTGGCACCCTTTCTGGTTGCTAGTTTGAAATGGGCTGCTTCATGAAAAGCCTTTAATTTGGGGATTTTTCTGGTATTTTCAAAGGTGAGTATTCTGATTTTTGTTGGCGGTTGATTCATTTGATTAGTACTCAGCGTGCTTAACTTCTGCCCTTGCCACGTGCTTCCCTGGCCCTGGGGTCACCTGGCTTCATTTATTTCCTTAGCAGGCCAGCTTCAGAGCCCTATGCCTCCCTGGAGTCAGAACAAGTTGGAAAACCTACGAGATTTCAAACTTGAATCCGTGGGATCTTTCTTAGGGGAGTGGCCTTCTGCTTGCCCCCTGCCTAAGCCTACTTTTACACATTTACAGCAACTTTGTGAGGTACCAAAAGGGTTGCATGAAACCAAGAGTTATTTTACCAAGTCAGATTGCCTGGCCAAGCTGCTAATGCCGCATCACAGAACAAATGCACAGGACTCTGTGGTCCACGGTTTAGGGGAGCAACTTTGCATGCGTGTTGTCCATTCTGCCTTTTTCTTTTTTTTCTTTTGACCTAAGTAAGCTGCAAACATATTAATTTACCAAATATTGATAAACCATGGATTCTGTGCAACTATGTGCTTGTTCCTGGCTCTGCCTGTAAGTTGGCCATATAGATGGTCATCAATGAACAGCACAATGTACAGCAATGTACTGGCCAACCCCCTGAAGAAGTCTCATTAACTGAGTAGTGCTCCATACAATGACTGGCAGTGAGATAGTTCCCGATCTTGCTTTGGTTTTGGTGACGGGTAGCCCACACAGGCAAAGGGGATGGCAAGGAGCCAATTTCTAGTGCATTACTCACAAATGAAAGGATCAGGGAAATATTTATTTGCAATTAATATTTAGATATGGAAGCCCTAATTCCTTGTTTGAAATGCCTCCCCCACCCACCCTGATACTAAATAGTTCAGTTTGAGGTGGGCGCATTAACGGTACAGGAAAACTAAGATCCAAAAAAAATAAGCAAGCAAATGGTGATATTGTCTCCCCGGGAGTAAATCCAGATTGCATTCCACGATGGTGTTTCGTGCTGCGAGGTGGCGGTGGTTTGCTTTATCCTGGGCGTCCAGTTCCCACCTGATAGTGCTTGTCCTTGAATTCCCCTCTGCGTCCTGGGGAAGCTGTCTCTAACTTTCATCTCTTCCTGATTTGAAATCGGAACGCTCCGCCTGTCGTTTTATCTCCGATTGCTGTTCTGAACATGGGGAACTTGAAATGCAAATGCAGGGGTCGGTCCCGTATTGACACCGGGGGGACTCATACATGGAACCCCACAAGGGGGGCGGGGGCAGGTTTCCTAACGTTAGAAGCAGGGATGAAAGGCCACGCAGTTCAGCTTGGGGAATTTGGCAGGCGGGAGCGAGGCCCAGTTTGTCATAAATTAGCCACAAGCCTACTGTGTTCCTGTAAGGTGGTCGTGACTCAATTACGGTCACACATATCATACGTGGCGATGGTTCACAAAGTATTACACACACACGTCTTGTGCTTGCTGCCTGGGCTTCTGGTCAAGTGTGGAGCAGGAACTGTCTTGTGCCCACTTGGGGCCGTAGCTTATGTCCTTGTAAGCCTTCTTTGGGCTTCAAATTCTAATGCTCATCATTAATTTGGCTGATCTATCAGCCTTCCTCACAGGTGTTACTATTTGGGATAAAATAGTATTTTAAAACTAGATGTTATTCTTGGGATAAAAGGCAAGGCTTACAAGAGCCCACTTTGTGTTAAATGTAAACACAGTTGCCTGTGTCCTTGCGGCATTAATTGGTAATCGAGGCGACTAAAATCACGTTGCATTGACTGTATTTAGGCTCCATATTCCAAATAAAATTTTAGACTGAAAACAAGTGATTAAAGATGAGTTCATTTCAAAATTGAAAAACAGAAGAATTCATGAATTTACACGTTGTTCTTTCCTGTTGGATTCTTAGCCCACTCCTTGAGCATATACGCGAGGATTTCCTAACTTGTAAAGGCAACGTATCTTAGACCCTGAAACCACGCCAGTAAGAGGACAGATTTGCAGCCCTGTTCAGTGCTAGTTGATGATGAGTACACTGTTCGTCCCATTGTTCCAGGGGCCTCTGCTGCTGCTTCACCCCCCAGGTGAGGGGCACCTTTGTCCTATCACACACGAGACTTATGCAGGGAGAAAAGCCAGCACAGCCCCTGTACTCTGGATCAAATGAACAAAGCCAGAGGTTCAGTTTCATGAACACTGCCAGCCAAACATTTCCTTTGGAGGGTGAGGGACAGGTGGCAGAAATATCCTGTTCCTTTTAATTATAGTGTCTCTTTCTCTTCTTCCAGCAAATATCTGTCAACATTTGTGGGTAAAAACTCATAAATTGTGTCACTAAGCAATCTCCCTGACAAAATACATATGTTTTATTACAAACGGTTCATTATTTCCTAATTTAAAAAATAATAATAATAATTCGAATCCAGGAAAAGCTCTTGTCAGTTAAATTCATCTTCTCAGAAACAAAATTTTTTTTGGACAATTCTCAGAAGCTAATTTATCCCTAAACAAACATAGTCTGCCTTTGGGTGGTCCTACTCAGAAATGGAGGTGATGTCATCATGTTGGACACAGAGTGGTGGGTGTGACTGCTGTCCTTTAAACGTAGTTGTTCCCAATGTCCACGTGTGTAGGGGATGAGTTCTGAAACAGGCAGTCCCACATCCAATTCACATATGCATAGAAATTACCTTCAAAAAAAAGGCTCCGTGCTTCAGTCCCCATACTGCTAACACCCCACATGGGCATATTCAATTCTTAGAGAAGTTAATCACTTATTTGTAATCTCAGGATGTTGTTTTATAGTGTTGCTTGCATTTTATAATTTGACATCACGGTTGGAAATGCTTTCCAAGTGCTATGCATTGTTATGGACGCTAGGTAGGTCTGTCTGTGGCTTTTTTTTCCCCCCTGCTATAGCAAAGTCTGTTGGCGGAGACATGGGCTCGGGGCAGGAAAGATAAATAAATCAAGAGAACAGGGATTAGGGTCCAATCTTCAAGTACAGAGTGTAGTTCAAAATCTAAGCTGTTTCTAGAGTAAGTACCTGAAGGGGCGAAGATCCCTTCCTTTTGAATTTGATGATAACGGGCTTGGAAATGAGCCTCCACAGACCTGGGTGGAAGAGTGTCCAGCCTCTTCCTAC